GTCCCAGCTCTGGAGCCCTCAGCAGAAGAAAGACACGGACCTGTTGGAGCAGGCCCAGAAGAGGGCCGGGAAAATGATCAGGGGGATGGAACACCTCTCCAATGAAGAAAGGCTGAGAGAGTTGGGGTTGTTCAGCCTAGAGAAGAGAAGGCTTCAGGGAGACCTTCTTGCAGCCTATCAGTACTTCAAGGGGGCTTCTAAAAAAGGTGGCAGCACACTTTTTAGCAGGGCCTGTTGCGACAGGACGAGGGGGAATGGCTTTAAACTAAAGGGGGGTAGATTGAGACTAGATAGAAGGGAGAAACTTTTTACGCTGAGGGTGGTGAAGCACTGGCCCAGGTTGCCCAGAGAGGTGGCGGATGCCCCATCCCTGGAAACATTCCAGGTCAGGTTGGACGGGGCTCTGAGCAACCTGATGTAGTTGAAGATGTCCCCACCCATGGCAGGGGGGTTGGATTAGATGACCTTTAGAGGTCCCTTCCAACCCAAACTATTCTATGATTCCATGATACCAGATCCTAAAAGCAACATATACGGAAGGATTTTTGAAAGTGTTATTGAAGATAAGCTACACCCTCTAGTGGCACAAAATACTATAGCTTGGTTGCTCCAAACAGCATTAGACAGACAGTTGCACCCCGTGATGTCCCCAGCATTCATGCCTCTCTCACTGCATGTTGAACCATCAATGAGGCATGGTTGTATAGTAAATGGGTTTGGGGTCGAGTCTCTTAGCTTTTGTACCTAAGTGTTGTGATAGTGATTTACACATGGTAACCCCCCTCAAATACAAGGAAACTCCACTACAACATTCCCATGAACAGGTTCAAAACCCTTTCGCATCCTCTAGCTTTCTAACATACCCAAACTACTTCTAAACCCTTACTGTAAATTTCTCTAATGTTTCCCAAGCATCATACAGGCCCTCTGTAATCCTCAAACAGCCCTCCTATGTCTCCAAGATTCACCCTTCCAATACTCATATATATATATACACACACACACTCACTTATATGTGCCTTGTCTAAGCAAAACCAGAACACACAAAAAACCCTAGATGTTACAGGTAATTCAAAACTGCATCGGTCACCCAAATAGCTGTTCTCAAGCTTAAGAGTCTCTCTCTCCCCCCTTGTTCAGTTTCACCATGAAAAAGTATTCATATAGCAAGTATGCAGCTAAGAATGAAATACCCAGATAAATTCCTCTCGGCAAACTTGCAGCAGAGCAACACATCTGCCCTCCCTTCTGACTGCAACACATCAAACTGCTGACTGAAGAGAAAAGAAACTTATATTTATCATCTTCCTCTTTCTCACTTCATGGCCTTTATCTCTGTAAAAAAGATACATTATGAAAGCAGAGGTAGCTGTGGGGCACAAAATAGCTGCCAAATTTCCTACTTTTTCCATCAACTAACTTCCAAAAAAATGAAGTGTTCTGTCATGGCCAAAACTGCTTAAATAAAACAGTTTATAAAGTTGTACAACCAACAGTCAAAGCTGTATTAAAACAAGTGTCCTGAAGCTTTTTTTTTTTTTTTTTTTTTACAGACTCAGTGGTACCACTGAACTCCAAACAATGCTTTCAATGCTTTTAAGACTCACAATGAATATATTTTAGTCACCTATTCATACAAGGTAGTCAAGCTACACCAAGATTTTGCTACAGTCCATATTTCAGTAAAAGAGAATATTACTAAAAAACCCCCAACACCTCTGCCACCACTACTCTACACAGTGAAAATGGACTGTATTGGACATTGGGTAAACAAATTAAGTGTTTCTACTTTAACATCAAGACAACTTAGATCACACCCCATCATCGCTTGCTGCACCTAGCTTAAATTTATTCTCCTCAAAAACTTTTGATGTGGAACCATAGTTAAAAAAAAAACAGCCTAGGCAACAACACACGCACGGAAGTCTATAGACACACAACTCTATACTTGGTTAATATGACCTTCCGTTAAAGTCATTCAGTCCAATTCTGAGAATTAAAGATAGGAGCAACTCTTGTAAAAGAACTATACAAATGGTCAGGAGAATTATTTCGGTTTTTCTTGGAGTTTATATTTATTTATTGTTCTCAGAATATGCATATGCAAAACACATGCAACATTAAGGCCTCAACAACCTTATTATGTCCAAGTTTCCCCAGCAGTCTTGCAGGATGGAATTCTTTTTTCCCTCTCCTCAAAGTTACAGGGGATTAGTTGGGTTGGGGGAGGTGGGAAAATATCTCCAGGACATCTCTTCAGCCACAAATGCATGGTTACCCTGTAAGACACCTGTGCAAACTGAAGATAATACTGCTCCCCCATCTTTGTTATTCTTGCTGCAGAATAACAAACTCACCAGTGAAAATAAATATGATTGCTCATCTGATTCACTACAACATTGGCATGCTTGGCTTGATCATCAGTTAAGATGGTTTGAACTAATCTGCTAATTTTACACGGAAGCAGGCTAAGGAGCCTCCACCCATTCCACTCCCTGGCTGAGCTGCAGGACAGTGATCTCCACTTTGTGTGCATTCAAGAGTTGATTGGGGCAGGGGGGGTAGATATTTCCAGCTGAATTCTGAAAAGAATGTATATATGCATCAACTTACAAACTCCAGTGCTAACAAATTCCTTTAAGATAAAAAAAAAGTATACACTAATGAAAAGACACAATTTTAAAGGCTGCTGCAGTCCAAGTGAATTGGAAGCAGGGGGGGAAGAAAAAAAAAAAGGGTGATCTTTCATACCTTAGCTCTTAAAATAGAAGTTAAGTACGATGCCATGCCTGTAAACCAACTCCAGCCTGTCTTAGTGGCTTTACTTATCTCTCTAGATAACTAAGATTCAAGGACAACAGGATCAAGGCAAGTCAGGGTGTAGCTGGCCCAATTACCTTTGGAGATAAGGCATTCATCACTGAATAAAATTTACATTTTTTATGAAGAACAGCTACATAGACATGATCTCTAAGAAACTGAAGGACATCTGACAGTCAGAAAAATCATCATGGTACTATTAGATGAAGAATGCAAAAAGAAGTCTTCTTTACTACGTAAGTCAATATAAAAGCTGCTGACATTTCAAAGACTGGAAGATAAAGTATTTTAAGCAGGGGGATTTTGGCACTGAACAGGATACATAGAGTCTAACTTTGTATTTGACTTAAAAACATTAGGACAGGTTCAGGAGAACACGTTAGTTATAAGGGCACTGAACCTAAGAATAAGTTTATAACCAAATCAGCGACCGCCCTCGTCAATGCAAGTTGTCTTGCATCATCATTCCCTAGAACTGGCATTTCTTTTAAATATGAAAGCCTATCTAAATATCAGAAAACAATAGTTAAGTATCTAACAACTCATCTGTAAGTTAAATCAGAGAATTTAGCTTGAAGGACTGAAAGTGCTCTGAGGTTCAACACTGCTTAATCTGTTCTGTACCTTACAGTTAACGTGGACTGAGAAGAGCAGCACATAGCGTATTAGAAAAGTTCCAAAGGTCTGTCCTGAAACAACATGACACTGACCTACGAGAGTTTTTCCCCGGTCAAGTATCCAGCGACATTCAAGATGCCAAGGTCAATCGCAAAAGCATGTTCAAACTCTTTCATTATAACCAACAGCATATAAAACATCTCAGGAGCCACTGCAGTGATAATAATGAAATACCAAAGAAAGGTTTCTGTTTCAGCTGATTCATGTGAAACTTTAGATTTACTGAATTTTCTTTATTTAAAGTTCAACCCTCCATTTAATAAATGACTATGCTGTAAGCATATCAGTAACTAATATGCAATTAAGTAAGATGCAACATACTTAAAATAAAAAGCTCAAACAGGATTTTAGTATGTTTAAACTACTGCAGATGAAATACCTCACATCAAAAGGTTCAGTTCAATCAATATCTATTGTGCAAATAAAGCTTGTGTACACAGTACAGCTTGTACTGTCCAAAATACAGACCTGTGTCATTTAACTTGTGTTTACCCCTCAACATGCTAGTACTTTTAATACTTCTAGCTTATATCTTTTAAAATGGTATAACACATTTAATGGGTTAATCATAATTATGCTGTCCACAAGTGCTCTGTCATTAGAGAGTGCTCTACATAAAACCCATCTTATCTACCGATCAAAGGCAACTGCCGTTGCCTGTCTTTTGCCTGGAGCTCAAGCACTTTTAATGTCACAGGTACATTACCATGATGTATAAGTGTAAGTTAAATGCCTTTTTCCATCCTCTGAAAGAACACAGAAATTTTATTTGGCTAGTAATTCAATCACTAAGGCTTTTAGCAAATAATTCTTCTTCCAAAGGAATTAAATCTTCGTTACCAGAATACGTTTTTACTGTTTGAAATCTATGACCTTACTGAGAAATATTCAATCTTTTAACATGGAAAAGCCTGACAGCTATAAATATTAATTCATCTGAAACAGTTACCTCATCTTACACATGGATAAACTGCTTAAGTCTTTTGGGGTACTATGAAATAATGCAAAATAATGCTAGTGTAATAATGGAAACAGACAATTATGTGCAAGAGCTGAAAGTTTAAAATAGAAAAAAGAAAAACACCTTTTTTTTTCCATATCTAAGCATGCAGATTCACACTAAAGGGACCAAATTTCCCACTATGTCTATCCTGAAAGGAAGAAATGCAAAAGTAAACCTAAAAATCTGTATCTTATTTGGAAATACAACTTTTATATAAATATTCCACTAGTCATCATCGAGAAGACACTGAATAAAATTATGGAAGGGCTGACAAGTGAAGCGTTTTCTACAGTCTTTCATACCAACTAACTATCTTCAAAAAAAAAGCAGTTACATAATACAGATTTGAGGGATGGCGAAGAGGACATTCGCACAGAACGTTTTTCAGGCAGCTCATGGAGAACAGTGAGTGAATGAGGTAAGAAGAAAACTGGAGTTCATAGCTCTTCAGCCAGTGGTATTGATGTGCAGGAATTAAAACAACAGTAATAAAAGAGACAATTACCTCACATAAGAGATTTAAGAACAAGAAAAATTTTAAACTAAATTCTGAAATAAAAAGTATTATAGTATTGCTTTCATGTAACCTGTATGCTTACACATACAATAGGAATGTTCCAATTGTGCCATCATTTATTTAGTAAGTACTTTTCTCCCATTTAATGTAGTAACTCTTGATTGAACTAATCAGTCATCACAGAAAGCATACCAAGTTCTGATAAATCCCCTCCACTTCCAAAACATATATACAGTTCAAAAGTCAGTAACTTGGAGAACTTCAGTATCTGTTTTAAAAGCTACCATAATGGGGGGGGAAGAATTGAAGGTTTCAAAACCAGGCATACAAACCCAGAATCCCCCTCCCCCATATCTAGATAATATGCAGACAATACCTACCTCTTTACTTTGCATTTTCCAAATGTATATACACATGCTTATGCACAGTACCCAGTATTTGCTTTCAACTCAAATGTAAAGCTTTTGTATTTTAGTATATAGTGTGCCAAAATAACAAATAAAGGTTATTTTGCCTGAACATGAAAGACTATCTAAAATCAGAATAAATGTGAACGTCAAGCTTCTTTGGTTTGGGCACATCTTTAATGAAGGAGCAAAATAATTGAAGATGCTATTATTGCAATGTTTGATTAAGCTTCATATAGCTACTTCTCCTGCAAGACAAGAGTGATCCATTCAACAATGCATCATATTTTTTCCCCAGGAACAAGAGTTTTTAGGCTATAAAATCAGATTAGCCAAAACAGGCAAAATTTCAATACAACTGACAGGGCACTGGTGACGCTTAGCTACATTCCACATCACAGCCCAACTGTGTTGATGAGAATTTGCAAAGGTGGGAATGGCCACGATATCACACAAGTAGGCAAATTAAAATAATGAGTCAACACTGAACCAGGGGTGGGGTGGGGTGGGCAGGGCGGAATCTTCCTTTTCATTTCTGCCAGATACGAACAAACATTTCACTTATACACAGCCATACTGCAGGCTGGCAGTAGCTGTTAGTGTAACCACTGTCATACATAAGACATCAACTAGGATGAACACCGAGACGTTTAAATTGCATGTGTACCAACTGCAGTTAAGAAAAGAATATTTAAGACAAATTAATGAAAAAAAAATTTTTAAATCTTTTTTTGAAATAATTAGTTTTCAGACAAGTTGTGTAATTTACAGTAGGCAATACTGAAGAGCAAAAGCTAGTTATGAAAACACAAAATTTTTGCTTCAGGTCTTTAATAATAAGATATGTATGTACATAGAAAAGTAAATATATATAACATGCATGTATATCACCATAAAAGAGCTTACAGTTCTTTGTGTTTCTCCTCTGCCAAAATTTGGTCATTTGGCTTCAGCCCATACCTTGGAAACAAAAAAAACACAAAACACAAAGCAGTTACTCCTTTGAGAATATAGCCATAAAATGTAGTTTTATAGTTTCAAACTGGCAAATTATTAAACTATGTAATATTTGTTGATTCGGGTACCTCAAGTATTGCAAAGACAGCAGCAAAGTCTTCTAAAAAAATTTGTTACATGCTTATTAAAGTAAACTTAACGTCACACAAAACTTTTGCTTTATACCACAACTTCAAATTATATCAGATACTTTGGCTTGCTATATATCCAAAATCATTGCACTTCATAGCATAAACTGGACACTGATCTTGTAATTTGGATCTGACAAAACATGACAGTGAGGAATACAGACAATGCGAACACTAAAACTGGCTGTAGTGTTTGCTCCCGTACCAAATAAAACTATTATAATCAATACCAAGAACATTCTATAGAAAAAAAAAATACTTTAACAACAGACTATTTAGGAAAATTTCTGCAGTCCATACAGGCAACCTCTGATGAAAGTGAGAGCTTGAGAGAGAGAAACTTTCTTTGCTAGCTTACCTAATAGACAATTTAACAGAATAGGTTGCCTACACTGTCTGAATCAGAGGGAAAAAGGAACCCAGTCTCCCGCAGCACAGGCTACTACTAGTAATGCTGCAGGCTGCACTGTCACTCACTTTGGAAAAACCTTTAAGAAATGACCTCACTTTTGTTGTGCCTCAGAGCAAAATCTTTTGCCATCTCAAAATACTCCACCAATCTAACTGCTATGGTTTTCTGTGGGGTTTGGTTTTTTGGGTTTAGGGGTTTTTTTGGTTGGTTGGTTTGCAAGACATTTATACATAATGTAAGCAGCTAAAAGTCAAGTGTCCATTTGATAATTCTGCAAACAGCTAACTGCTCACACTGCAGAAGGTTCCCACTGTCCCTTTGCCCTCTGTTTTTCTTCTTTACTCCAGTCAACTGCAGAACCATAAATTACTCCTCCTGAGGAAAGATTCTGGTCACCAGCCAGCTACAACCAAGCTCTTACAAATTGATTTTTGTGTCAAATAAACAGATAAAATGTATGTTCTCTATTCCTTATAGCATTTTCTGATGATACTCTCTGAAACTTGTTTTTTTCAGGATCCATTTAAAACGCAAGCATCAACCCTGGACACATTCTCAAGCTCACTAGTGCTGCATTCAAACATACAAGACACCGACTGACTGACCCATTTTTCTTGTTTACATATGCAGAGACTGCCTTAGGTTATTTGCCATAGTATCACGCTGACTTGCATCCATTTATCCACTTTGCTGCTAAATCCTTCATGGAGCCACTTCTAATCAGGACACAGTGGGGTCCATCCACATTCTCCTTCTAAATGCAGGCTTGCATTTGACTCTTAGAGCAAGCAGACTATACTGTAACACGCTGTTGAATAACAGATTCAGGTCACTTGCTTTAATTGCCACGTCTTCTTTATAGTTTCCCATCCTATCAGTCTATAAGCCATAAATTTTAACTGTTGTGATCTTACATTTACTGCCAAATCAATGTTTTCTGTAGTGAACAGTATCAGGCTCTTTCTTTAATGAAAAAGGGTCGAGCCCAATACCAGTCTCTTCGTAATACTGCTACACCTCCCCGATATCTCCATTTGTCATGTCTTAATAAGCATTTTATTGATAGCAAATACTTATATATCAGAGAAAAAGCAAAGAGCTACCAGGAAATTCTAAAAGGAACATCTTTCAGAAGTCAAAGGACACTAACTCTTCTTACACAACTTGCAATCTTACTTAAAATGAAATCAGGTCATTTGTTAAAAGGATTTTCCTGTCATAGACAGATATACCCTTGGCTAATATGCAATCCATTTTGTGAGTGGAGATCATTTTGCCCATTAAAAATATATATCCGCATAAAGTCACAACCATTCTTCTCTAAAAATAACAATGCATGCTTTTCCTCTGACCAGAAATCAGACTACTTCAGCTAGAACTGAATACAGTTTTATCTGCTGAGGATATAGTAATAATACCTATACTCGAGCTTTTTAAAGCTTCCAGATTCCTTGGTCCTTCACTTTTTTTTTTTTTAAACCACCATTTAACCCCCACAGTTATTTAGAGGAAAAACCCCAAATAAAACCCTTCACTACTTACTCAGACTAGTAAGTCAGCTACAACAGAAACCGTGTAACATAATGGGAACGCTGTTTAACAGATGTGTGATTTTTGCCTTGGGTATGTTACTGACATACCAGAGGGGTGCAGGAGGGACACAGTTGCTACCCCTGAGGTTTGCAGAATGGTTCCCTTGGTGAACCTTAGCTTACCTAATCTTTTTCACCACCACCCCCTTCCTTCACCATGGAAATGGCATTTTTCAAATATTCTTCCTTGACCCCTAAAGATATTGCTTTGATAGCAACTTGTAAAAAAAAAATTTCCACAAAGGGACATGCTTGTAGAGTTCAAACTTTTATTAGTTCTTCATGCATTAAGACAGGATGCATATTATA